AGAAAGAAAGAAAGAGAGAGAGAGAGAGAGAGAGAAAGAAAGAAAGAAAGAAAGAAAGAAAGAAAGAAAGAAAGAAAGAAAGAAAGAAAGAAAGAAAGAAAGTCAGAAAGAAAATCACACTGGGTGCCCAAACTTGGGTACGTGGGTGCTCAAATTCCCAGGAAGAGAATGGAGAAGGGATTGAGGTGTGGCCATCCCCCTGGAAGGTGATTTCTCACTTTGCCTCTCACTGTCTCTCTCTGGCAAGTGCAAGCACAGCTTACTAATAAGAAAAGAACAGGGGGGCAGCAGGTGGCGTGGTGGTTAAGGTGCTGGACACTCCCACAAGGGTGACCACAGTTCAATTCCTGGATCTGGAGGTGGTTTTCTCACTTCTCTCTGTCTCTCTCTGTGTCACTATGGTAGAATTAAAATAAACGAATGAATAAAATTAAATTAATAATTAAAAAAAAAAAGAAAGAAACAGTTTGCTTTTTACAATAAATTTCTAAAAATTTAAGAACTGGGCCAGCAGGTGGTGTGGTAGCTAAGGTGACTGGATCCCTCAAGACTCACTGTGTAGTTTGAGTCCCTGACCAGGGGGCTTGAAAAACACACCAGGCATGTGTATATGCATGCCCAAAATGCCAAGAGGAGAATGGAGAAGGGATTGCAGTGTGGCCATTCCCCCTGGGGGGTGATTTCTCACCGTCACTGTCTCTCTCTCAGATAAGTGTATATGCTCTAAAGCAAAAATCCCTTAAAAAAAAAAAATTGGGACCCAGTAAATGGTGTAGTGACTAGTACTCCCATGTAGGCAACCGCAGTTCAAGTCCCAGACCCGGTGGCTTAGTCTCACACCGGGAGCGTGTACGTGCGTGCCCAGGATCCCGAGAGAATGGAGGAGAAGGGATTGCGGCGTGGCCATCCCCCCTGGGGTGATTTCTTGCCTTCTGTCTCTCTGTCTCTCTCTGTCTCTTGCAAGCGCATGTGCCCTATAGCAAAAACCTTTCCAAAAAAAAAAAGAAAGAAAGAAAATTGCCTGGAACATCCAGAAAAAGGAAAAAAACTCAATAGATTAAACAAATTAAGACACAGCCAACAACATCATTGTTATACCTCAAGATAGAGCAGTAGGGGCCGGCGGGGGCGTGATAGTTAAGGGGACTGGACCCCCACATGGCTGACCACGGTTAGAGCCCTTGACCTGGCGGCTTGCTCACACTCACTCGCTCTCTCTCTCGCTCGCTCTGTCCCTCTCTGGTCAAATCAAAATAAATAAATAAAGTTAAATAAAACAATTCTTTTAAAAAAATCTTAAAAAAGAAAGATCTGTAGGAAGTATCCAGAAAATAGCACAGGGAAGCCAGGATGTAGAAAACGTGGAAAGAATAGCAATAAAATTACCCATACTTGGGGCCGGCTGATGGTGATTGGGGGCGCTGGACTTCCACGCGGTTTGAGTCCTGGACCTGGCGGCTGGCTTTCTC